ACCTCTGTGCTTGCCAACAAGGGTTTCTGCACCAAGTACTAAGTCATGTTTTGCTTGGGGATCAAATACTTATTTCACTCACTGAAATGTAAATCAATTTCTAACCTTTATATAATGTGCTTTTTCTGGATTTTTTTGGTTGGTATTCTGTCTCTATTCGTTAAAATAAACCTACCATAAAAATTACAGACCCTTCATTTCTTTGTAAGTGGGCAAACTTACAAAATCAGCAGGGGATCAAATATTTTCCCCACTGTAGCTCGAATATAGTTTAAAAGAAAAGAAGTCTCTTATCCTCATCAAGGCTGCATTTATTTGATAAAATATTACAATATTACAAAAATAAAAATGATTACAAAAAAGATTGCTAAATAAAACTCTTAATTTCTTTAAAAAAAAAAAAAATCTTACTGACCCTAAAACTTTAAACTGTAGTGTATTTTGTATAAATAATTTCAATTATTTATTTTTGCATCTGGTGTATTAATATATTTGAAGTTCTCAGTTTAACCAAAGATATTACAGACCATTATAACCGAAAAAATATTTTCATAATATGCATTTTAGGTATTTCATACAATGTCTATTGTTTGCAACAAGTGTGTTGAATGTCATTTTTTTCCTTCCAGACAAAGATGAAGTCGCTGAGAGACGACTGGGAGCGTTTCAATGCAACACAGAAACAAGTGAGTTTTGCCTTGAGCATCAGTAGCTCAAACTATGGCTCTGTTCAATCATCTAGTGAGTTGCCTGCAGTCTTCTAAGGCACCTCATAAACTAGCTAATTTAAAAACACTACTTGAGCAGTATCTCTGCGACTCATATAAATAGCACTCACAATTAGGGGTTAAACTAGTGACAACATCGATACCAATTGTCTTGCAACATTTGCGTGTGTTCAGATGAGCAGGAAATAGTTCTATCCTACACAATTACTCGCTAACAAAGGTTATTCATCCAATTCAATGCATATTGTACGCATTATTTTTTTTGTTTTGTTGTTAAATTAACAAAATCACTGGTAAATAAAACACACCTTAGTATCGATATTTTTTGTTTGAGTATCAATACTTTCGATACTCGCGTCAGTATCGATATATCGATACTTTGGATCGATACGCCCATCCCTAAATTACACCTCACATTTTACAAGAAAATGTTTGTTAGCCATGCTCAGGATTGCATCACAGGACTTAACGTTAGGGCTTTACAGGTTTCCCTTTCTTTGAACGAAACAAATGCTTGAAAATAGTGGTTAAAATTGTTCATTTTTAATTTGGTTTAAAAACAGTTCTTTAAATATATGCTACCATTCAAACGTTCTGTACAATTTTTTTTTTCTTTGGAAAGAAATTAATGCTTTCATTCAGCAGTGATGCATTAAATTGATCAAAAGTGACATTAAAGACTTTTACAGTGTTGATTTAAAATATTTCTATTAATAAATGCTGTTATCTTGAACATTCTACTCATCAAAAAATATACATTTTCCACAAAAAATATTAAGCAGCAAGTGTTTTCAACATTGATAATAAAAATAAAAAAAATGTTTCTTGAGTTTCTGAAGGATCATGTGACACTGAAGACCACAGTAACGATGATGACAATTCAGCTTTACCATCACAGGAACAAATACCATTTTTAAATATATTAAAATAGAAATTGCTGCTTGAAATGTTTTCTGAGATTTCCTTCTCTGTGTAGGATACGTGTTGCTGCCTTAAATTTTCACTATAATTAGGCATTTTAGAAAAACTGAAAGCTTACTGTTTTGAAAGCGATCCTTTATCTGACTTCACTGCTCCATTTTCAGATGTACATACAGCTGGCAGAGGATGACAAAGTACGTTACAAGAACGAAATAAAATCGTGGGAGGAACACATGATAGAGATTGGAAGGGAAGACCTTGTTCGGAGAAAAGAGAGGAGAGCCATCAAAGCCAAAGCCACTAAAGACAGAAAGAAGAAATCCAAAGTAACAGTGCTAAAGGCAAAAGCGCCAAAAAAGAAGACCGAAACAGCAGTGAAAAAGACTGTGAAGAGCACCAAGAAGTGAGATGATGTGTATGACTCTGTTACACAGAGTGTGCTGTACAAAGGCCAGTTCCGTCCTCAATACAAAGCCTGTGCTTTCCGTTAGTAGAGCTGCATTTATATAGTGTTCAAAGCATGAAGGTTTTAAACTGAAAACTGAGTCCTTCGTGAAGTCTCATCTTTTCAGTAAATCCTTTTTTTTTTTTTTTTTTGCTGCTTTCATTTACTCACTGTGTTATGTAAACCATCCTTTAGCTCCTGACTATGACTGTTTTATTGTGCTATATTGCTTTTAAGCTACTCAAGAATGAAGAATTCTTGAAGTCACGAAGAATTTCTTGACTGGCTATGAAACTAAGACTGACATCAGTTTTCATTTGCTTCTTAGAATGCGTTTGTATATCATGCTTTAAAAGAGGACGCCATGTTTTGTATGTCTTTACTTACAAAATAAACATTAACATTTTTTATAAAAGCAACAGGAGGTATTTACAAAAGAATGCTACACAACTTCATTAAAAATTTCATAAGTGTGCTAAGATTAAAGTTATAGTTCCCCCAATTTGAAAATTAGTCATTTGACCTCACGTTTCAAACCTGTATGACTGACTTTATTCTGTGTAAAACAAATTCAGGTATTTTAAAGAATGTCTAAGCTGCTCTTTTCTATGCAATGCCTCAATCACTAAATGTGCAAATGTACACTGTATGGGGGCAAAGCATCTTGAAGATGTTTCAAAATTTCTCTCTTACAGCATAAAGGGTGAATAAATGACAATTTTCATTTTAGGTGAACTATCCCTTTAAATACAAATCAAGTGGCCTCAGATTTACGTTGAATATTATATTATAATGCAGTTGTCAACTCAGGACATGAAACTTCACATTTAAAACTTTTACATTTAACAGATATTTACATTATAATTTAAAATATTCTTGAGGGATAAAATCAGGACTTGGAAGCCGAGCTGGGGTCAGATGGCAGTTTGGCTTCTTGCAGTAAAGTCTCAAAATCAGGTGAACACACTAGCTTGTGTGTGATGTTTCCGAGCACAGTCATGTCCCCGGTCAGGCCCTCTGACAGCCGCACACACACAAGTTGCTGCAGATACAAAAACAATCATATCCCATGAAACATACTTCATATAAATGAGATCTAGTCCATTAAAAGGATAGTTCACCCAAAAATGAAAATTTGCTATATATATATATATAAATAAAAAAATTAATAATAATCCACATGACTCCAGTCCATCAATTAACATCTTGTGAAGTAAAAAGCTGTGTTTGTAAGAAACAAATCCATTAAGGTGTTTTAACTTTAAATACCAGTCAATAATCCATAATAACAGTTTGAAGTTAAAATAGTCTTGATGGATTTATTACAAATTATTTCACTTCACAAGATGTTAATTGATGGACTGGAGTCATGTGGATTATTGTGATGTTTTTATCAGCTGTTTGGACTCTCATTCTGACGGCACCCATTCACTGCAGAGGATCCATTGGTGAGCAAGTGATGTAATGCTAAATTTCTCCAAATCTGTTCTGACGAAGAAACAAATTCATCAACATCTTGGATGGCCTGAGGGTGAGTAAATTTTCAACCAATTGTAATTTTTGGGTGAACTATTGCTTTAATAAATTAAACAGATCCAGTCGACTTCAACATTAGCTGTGCAAAAATATAAACACCTGAATGCTACCATAAAGCCCAAACCCTACTTTCTTCCATGAAACACAAAATAAATGTTATAATTACACTGATCAATGGCTTCAAAATCAACAAAATGTATTGGAAAAGTGGTCCATATGACTTCTGTGTTAAATAGTTGTATGACAAATTTTATGATTACTTTAATGGTGCTTTATGGTTAATAGTACTTTAATGGTATTAATGGCATTTTGGAGATTGACAGGCCCAGCTGTCACAATTTTACTATATGTCAAAGTTGAAAAAAAGAAGAAGAAAAAAAATCGTATTTTAAAAGAATAGCTATCAAATAATGTATGTTATAAACATGCAGAAACTAGAGGAAAGCTGAATACAGAAGAATAACACTGTTTACATATTCTCGCATATTACATTGTTTCCACAATTAAAAAAAAAATAATAATAATAATATAGCCTGGTCATACAGATATTTTGGTCGTTATGTCCAATGATTTTATTCTGATGTGTTTTCACAACTGATACTGTTATTTTTAATTTTGCTACATTGCATCTATTAAAAATGACAACGTGTTAACTCACCTGTAGGAAAGAGAAGGCTGCTCCCTCTGAGACATCTAATGTAACATTTCCCATGACCAGTTGGACTTTACCAGACTTTCTAATTTGCAGTTTTCCAATCAGGCCCTCTGAGAAGTCAGACAGCATCGGTACAGCGGCTTTATCAGGCTGATCCTGAAGAATGATATAAAAACAGCATTAAAATCGTTAAGAGGACACTGAAGATGATATTAAATGTTTACAAATGAATGTAGTTTGCCTTCAAATGCTCAATTTAATGAGGAATTGAACTCCTTGATCTTTTGAAACGAGTGCTTTGAAATCATAAATCAAAATTCCGGTGCGAACATACATTAATAAAAAAAGTTTCATAAAAAACAGTGGTTACATTTTATTTTAAGGTGTCCTTGTTACAGTGTAATTATACATTTAAGTACCGAGTAATATTAATTAAAGCTGCAGTCCGTAACTTTTTTTGGTTATAAATGATCCGAAATCAATATTTGAGCAAGTACATAACCAGCCAGTGTTCAAAACTATCGCCTTACTTTAGCCTGTTTCACAACGGTTAGTTTATAATAATGTTTTCTAATTCGGGTAGGTTTTCGCCGGAAATTCGAGCATGGCACTGCGTCATTACGTCACGTTTGTAAACATAAAGAAGTTGTCCTGGTTACTAGGCCATCGCATGTGAGGATCCTGCAGGTGGCCGATACCTTTTCGGCGATACGTTTATAGCCTTTTCTCACAGCAGCTGGAATAATTAAATGTATCATTCTGATGGTGGATTGTAATCCAGAAAGGATTATGTGTTTATGAAACACATGTGAATGAAATTAAATTATATTCCGGTTTTAAATGTGCTTCCGATTACAGAAGATTACAAGATTTATTTTAAAGACAACCAGTTCGAAGGGAGCATAATTTGCTTTTTGGGTTAAAAGAATTTCTTAATATGAAATTCGAGTGGTATGACAATTAGAGATTAGACTAGACTGTACAGAAATTGAAATCTGATGGCTTATACACACTCACGTAATGCTGATGTTGTTAACATTAACAATTTGAGAATAAAATATAACAATAATAATAATTTTGCACGGTTTGTTGTGAAATAAACTAATTTAGATTAAATCACCATTGGTAACGTGATTTATTGTAATGCTTTTTTCACCAAAACAGTCAAAAAAAAAAAAAAAAAAAAAAAGATGATGATGATGATTTTGGAAAATTATAATGAAAAGTTAAACTTTCACTCTTTGGGTAAAAAGTATCACAATACAGTAAACATATGATATTACCCCTTATTAAGGCACAGTATAAAATCTTACAAGAGCTTTAATTTGGGATGAGCGCTTGTCTTCAGTCTTGCCATCCTTTCTGGTTTTCTCTGGGCTCAAGGTTTTAGGTTGACCAGGTATGGTATCAGGAAGTTGAATAAACAGTAGTTCTTCCTTATCTGAAACAGTCAGCTGTTGAAACAGTTCTCCAAGCGTTGGCTGCTGCGGGCATGCAGGCGTGCCCCTCCCTGGCACAGGGTATGTCTGCTCAGCTCTGGCTGATTTCAGTGCTTTATCAGACGCTGTCTCTTCTTTAACTGCAAAAATATCTTGGATTTAGTTCTTTGTTTACTGTAAACGGAACAAAAACTAGCAACAAAACAAGCCACATAACATTATTGTTAGCATAAACGGTAACTTACATGAACTAGCTGCATCTGTTGACATAAAGTTGCATGATTGATAGAATGGAAGTCTGATTGGTCTTTGCTTGGGATCATTTTTTAATCCAGGATCATCCAAAAACTGCTCAATTAAACCAGGAAAAATATTAAAATGCTACTGATTAACTTTCAAGACTCCATGAAATACGTCAAATGATAAAGGCTCATTGGGTCTTACATCATCTCGTTGGAGTTTTTGTAAAATTTCATCATCATCATCATCCTCAGTATTTTTCTTTTCCTGATTACAGAACCGGCATTACTATCAAAATGCGCATGACAATCGCATTCGATTAATCGTGCAGCCCTAGTTGTAGGTTGGAATTATTATTTGTTATGTGGTGTTATTGAGGATTATATTGAGGATTTATAACGATTTGATGTAGTGACAACAAGCCTAATTACTACATTGTGATGCATATCACCATCAAGGTTAAATGATGCATATGAATGACAGGGTTAAAACTTCAATCATATCGCCGACCCCTTAACAATTTAACTGAGGAGTTAACTGAAAGTCAATAACTGAGTGATTTAAAAAATATGCTTTACCTAGCTTCCTGTAGGTGTCTGCTGGTCCCTGCTCAAAGATGGAGTGAGACTGAATGGTCTGAGGCTTTTCTCGCCGCCGTCTCTCTCTTTGTCTGTCTTCCCTCTCTCTTCTCTCTTTCTTTGGTGCAATGCGAGTCTCCTTCTGTAACCTCCAGAAAACAAGTGATTTATATGGTAAAGCCACATAGTCATATTTTTTTTCAGATAATAGCTGAATATGACGTGAAAATGAGTCTCTGGTATTTAAACTTTAGGAGGAAAAAAGGGTTTGAATGAATTATTAAGTTTCAAATAACTGATTAAAAACTCTAATTCAACTATATGTTTGTATCTTGAATTAAAAATGTTAATGGATTGTGAATATGGCAAGTATGACAAATCAAGTTTATTACGAGGTTTAAAATACTTACTCATCTTTAGTTTTGCGAACAGAGTGAACATTTGGAACAAAGGTTTTCTGTAGGGGAAAAATTATTTATATTATACTATATTATCTATATCGGACAGCTCTCTTTATAAAATTGGATAAGTATATAAGATGTTATACTGTAAACATTACAGTAAAATATATATTTTCTATAAAGCTGCTTTAAAACAATGTGTATTGTGAATATAACACTGACTTCATCTAATATTTTTGTGTTTTAAACAAAGCATTTGATATTGAACCGTTGACATTAGAAGGTGAAACCTTTTTATAGCCACCCAGAGTCAGATCTCTGGAGCGCAGAGAAGTCAGTCTGCCTGGTGGAGGTGGATTCAGTGCTATTCGGCCTGGCAGTCCTCGACCCAGAGCATATGATGGTCTGAAAGTGGCAGACGAGCTCGCTTCTGCATCCCCATCTCCATCTCCATGTTCAGACATCCTGCCAAAACCCAGAAACACTTACTGAAAACGACAACCCTAGTGAGATGCCCTCATAGACATTTGTTTTGGGCATCAAACGTGATTTCTCAGAGTGATACAATGGTAAAACGAGCCTCGAAGAGTTATGGGTGGTATATAAAACAAACGTTCATTCAAACACAAGAGATTGCAATTCAAGAAGCGCGCGCCTCCATTTTGTTAGCAACCTAAGCTATCAAAACAAAGCCTTTAATACCAGTTTATGCCATTTGCACCGGCGGATTTGGAAATGCGTGGAATGATGACGGAAATACGGCTGTACTGAATACATATAAGTGAAATTAAAAACCGTACGTACTTGAAATTGGTGTAAACACCTTAAGTCATATCTGTTAAATTCGTCCAGCTGACAGCTACATCCTTGCAGAAGCATCGTGGGTCACGTGGTCCGGATTTACCAAAGAATCACACGTCACAAAAGAAATTATAGTATATTATTATGTACTGTTGTTATTTTATCACATTAATGAATAATATATTTTAATGCATATTGTAAAATATGTTATTAGTCTATATTTATCTCATATTGTCTTATGTTGTGTCATAATTGTCTTACTATTAAACTGTAAACTATTTTATTACTACTATATTACTTATATTGTGTTACATATTTAAATATTATTTATATTATATTGCATTGTTTTATACACTGTTATTTTATCACATTAATAGACAATTCATACTTTATATAATAATAATTTATAGTATTTATATTGTAAAAATATGAATATATTTATTTTTATACATTGTAGTCTTATATGGCATCATCATTTTCGTAATCTTAAACTGTATGTGTGTTGGAGCAAAACTCTGCAGGGCTCCGGCCCCCCAGGAATTGAGTTTGACACCTCTGTTCTAAGGTGTGCAATTATTTTCAGGGAAACCCATGGCAAACACACACACACACACACACACACGCACAGAAACGTATGGTTAGCGCTGCTCTGTCGATCAGTAAAATAGTTTAGCTTAATTTAAAAGCAGCGGCGGTGGATGAGATGCGTAAGGTGCAACTGGTGCGCAAATTTTAATTGTAGAAACAGTTTAGATTTATCTCATATAGTCTTATGGTGTCTTAAACTGTTTATTGTTAGTATGAAACCACCACTCATCAGATAAATCATGCTTGAGTAATTCTGCTGTGTTCTCGTGTTGTACATCGTTTTAAAAACTTCCCAAGTAGTATTACCTAGTAGTATTACCTAGGCTATTAGGATAATTATAATTCCTATAATAGTAAAAATACAAATATAACGATTATAAAAAAATATGAAAATAAAACAGTTATATAAATAAATCTATATATCTATACATATTTTGTTAAACATAGCATGCAGTAATAAAGTAAATATTTGTAAACACACTGGCTGTGTCTCTAAACTATAAACGTGAGCTGCTTACTAGACCGCATTTTGGGGCATCATATTCGGCTCAGCTGACTCCTATCGGGCCAAAAATGTTGTCTAGTAGCAGCTCACTAAGTTTTGTGACAGACCCCTTCCATCCACCCTTCTTCTGGCTCATATTGAACAAAGGGCGGCGCTCTGCTTTTGCCTGCCCTCACTTTATACTCCTCCGGTCAATGTAAGTCACACAGAGCCCGTGGCCGCGATGAATGGCGCTCACTCTCCGCGGGGAATGATTTGATCTGAAGGCTGCGGAGAGTCAGCGGTGCTCTATGAAAGTCATGGCCGCTCAGTGTGAACCCTTAAGCGGATACTTACAGCAGTCTGATCCGGGCTCCAACAGCGAGCGCAGCGCTGATTCCCCTCTGCCCGTGTCTGAGGATGACTCCAGCGGACCCACTGCACCTCCGGACCCCGAGTGGACCGAGGAGAGGTTTCGAGTGGACCGGAAAAAACTGGAGATCATGTTATTAGGTAAAACTGTTGTTTCCATGACAACAATTGTCAATTTTTAGAGAGTTTAAAGAGTTATAAACCAACACTCTGCAAGTAAAACTTAAAGTTTACTACTCAAAATGCACAATTGCTGTTAAGAATTGTCTTGTTTAACTGAACAAACACAATAGTAATGTCAAATCTAATGCATTGCTTCCAGCATCTGCAGAGCCATTTATGTTTCTCTTCTCCTTTGTTCAACTCCTATGTATAATTCTCGCTTCCATGCCCATTTTGTTTTCAGAAACATAAGTTTAAATAAATAGTATAATGAAAATCTTAGAAAAAATAATCTAACTAAGAAATCATTCCAGACTAAGAAAAGCCAGTAGTTGAGGCTCCATTGTTCAGTTTACATAGAGATTGTTTTCAAATTGTTTGTGTATTGTAGTATAGTTTGAAATTAGACATAACAAAATGTCATGTCATTTATACATATTTTAAGGACTGATTTATGTGTTTTTTTTCTTTCTTATGATATTCTGATATTTAGGTGTTTAGTGTAAAATCCCAATTTTTTTCGATGTAAGAAAGAGGACTGTAGGCACAGTAACTAGTAATATATAATGTATTACATTTTGGAAGTAACTTGCCCAACACTGGCTACTGTAGCCTATATATTTTCACAGGACATGAACTGTGTGTGCAGTGAACAACTCAACCAATAGGGGGCAGTGGTAACGCATTTCTGCTTTTGACATTGGTCTTGAATGTTGTGTTTTTCTCAATTTGTTGAAGTAATTTTAAAACAAATGGCAGTGTGGTCAACTGCTTCAGAAAAGTGGAGGATGAGAGTAAATTAAATTTTTGGACGATGAATTGTCACATTTTTGGCTTACAGTTCTGATTGCATGTGGCTTTTACTTACTAGAGCACAGAACCGAGCAAAGAAAAATGTTGTATTGGTTTAAGTAGAGACACAAGTCATTTATAAAGGCCACTTTTTCCTTTAATCTATAGTTGTTTTGTTTTTCAATTAGTGGATTTATCAAGCAGTTGATAGAAATCGACAGGGGCTTCTCATTCCCCGGCTCTGTATGGATGGTAAAACGCTTTGAAGCTCTCTGCTGTAATACTTTGTCCATGTCGGGTCATGCTTTCCATGTTGTTTCATGTTTCTGAATGAGTTCAGAAAGGGACATCATCATCATCCTACACTCACAAAGTCTCTAAGTTCAGTTAACCGCAGCAATCCTTCCTGCTGAGGTCATTCAGCATCTCCTCACAGGGTTTTAGAGTGTATTTGATCAACCTGCTTGCTGAAGGAATGCTATTAGGATTGGGATTTTCCTAGAAGATGCACAGAGAAGCTTGTGTATATTATGAGCTGTATTTGCCAAACCAAATGATAGGAATTCAGCATTACTCAATTCGATTTAAGATCAGTCATAAAACTAGAGTACAAACATGAAGGGACCTTGTGTTACATATCCAAAACAACCATTCTGTGATCCATAGAAGTAGAAAGCACTTTTATTGTAAGAAAGAAAAAAAAAAAGATGTTTTTGTTATTCTTCGAATAGACATTCTGGTATGTCAGATTGTACCACTTTATCAAAGGATGCACACTTCATTGGCAGCTGTTACAAGATTTAGTGTCTTTTTGTTGAAGAAGGACTCAAAAGTTGTTAATCATAAGACCAATTTTCACATATTTTAAAGTTCCTGGTTCAATCTTCACCTTTAATAGCTGTGAACTGCTCATCTCTGCTTGTTTTCAGAAATGTTAGCATCGCAGGTGTTCGCTCCAAAAGTACTTAGTCCATCAGATATAATGAGAAGAGTTAAGCAACATTCAAGACCGTTTTGCTGAAGCTTTTTATATCTCTTGGATAGGAACACCTATTAATCATTTCATTTTATAACTATTTTAGCTGGCTCATGTGGAGGAATGGCTCACTGTCATTCTGGAATTCTCAAGAATCAGTAATGAATCACATAAAGGAGGTCTGAATTTGTTTTCTGTTCCAGATGTGTATTAATGATTAAATTTGTGTAGATTATGTTGAGAAGGAATGTGTTCATACCAGGATGAATTGTGAGCAGTCTGTTTAATCGTACGTTTACGTTTATATATATATATATATATATATATATATATATATACAA